AAAAATCTCAAAAAAAATCTCAAAAAATGTCCGAGGAGGTTGAGGGACTGTGTGTGTGTGTGTGTGTGTGTGTCTGTCCTTCAGAGAGACAGGTCTGTGTCAGGAGGTCATTTCCAAAGGCTTAAGCCTGCACCTTACTAGGTGTACAAAAAATGTGAACAAGCTATGCAATTTTTCCTCTTTGGGTCTCCTGAAAATCCTGTACTTTGCACCTCCAAAGCATTTGATCTGGTGCCATGGGCAGCAGCCTCCGCATCTTCTGGGCAGGGCTGTCAGTTGTGTCCTGGTCTTGAGACACATCAGCTGTTTCGGTGACTTGTAAAGCATTTATACTCACAAGTCAAAGCAAACAGAATTTAGATATCTAATATTGCAAAGGATTAAATTTAGAATATAAACCTGTTCTGGGGGATAACTGGACAATATGAAAATAGGAGGAAGTAGAAAGACAAATGACCTTTGTAGCTTTGTAATTGTGTAATGTATCACATCTTGGTAAACAGCAGTTTGATTCTAGTAAAATGCAGTTGCCTCAATAGCATTTATTATTCTGTGAAGTAAGTATATTCTATCACCCGGGCAACCAACTAAAATTATTGATTAACTTCGTATATATCTCAACAGTTCTGTGCTGCTGTTGCCATGATTTTATCCTTCTATATGATATTAATCCTAATCTGTTGGTAGATCAGCCCGTTGCTCTGAGGTCTCATTAATCTAAAAATCCCAATGCATTGTTTAATTCTCCGACTTTCTCCAAAACTTGGCCTATTGTCAAGGAAACCTGCGTCTTTCATGTGTCACCGAAGGTGGAAGAGATTCCACTTTTTCATAAGTCCCTTTTATTGCAGTGCTGTTGTAACTTCGGATCGTCACTAAGCAAACGATTGTAAGTCAAGGACTACCTCTCTCACGTGAGAGCTCTGGATTGGTTTGTTCAATGATTCATTGAACAAATGAATCGGGATCGAACTCTTGGCAGTGGGCAGAGTCAGCCTGCAATACTGCATTTTAACCTAGCCGGATCAGCATTGCAGTTCTACTCCTTATTTTGGAAAAGGGTGTGTTAAAAATGTGTGATAGATACTTAACCTTGGTGCCAAAAGGTGTGTTGTGAGGAATAGAATAAGGCAGGCGTCAGCGTTAAAAGAAATCATTAATTTTGTTTATTAATACAATGTACATTCTGCTGTAATCCAAATCATAAGACTAGTGGGTGATGTGTTATCTTTTTCCTATCTGCTGTTGGGAAGGCTATGACTGAAGCAGGGCAAGGATGGATGGATGGATGGATGCATAGATAATGATAGATAGATATAGATGATTGATTGATAGATAGATAGATATAGATGATAGATAGATAGATAGATATAGATGATAGATAGATAGATAGATAGATAGATAGATAGATAGATAGATAGATAGATAGATAGATAGATAGATAGATTTGGAAGGGATTTTGTAGATCATCTAGTCCAACCCCAACCCTCCCAAGCAGGAGACCCTGAACCATTTCTGACCAATGGCCGTCCAGTCTTTTCTTGAAAGCCTCCAGGGATGAAGCTCCCACAACTTCCGAAGGCAACTTCTCTTCCATGGGTTGATTGTTCTCACTGTCAGAAAATCTCTCCTTATTTCCAGGTTGAATCTCTCCTTGTTCAGTTTCCATCCATTGTTCCTTGTCTGGCCTTTGGGTGCTTTGGAGAATAGCCTGACTCCCTCCTCTTTATGGCAGCCCCTCAAATATTGGAAGACTGTTCTCCTGTCTCCTCTGGTCCTTCTCTTCCCTAGACTAGCCAGGCCCAGTTCCTTCAACTATTCATTGTATGTTTTAGTCTCCAGTCCCCTCATCATCCCGGTTGCTCTTCTCTGCACTTTTTCTAGAGTCTCAACCTCTTTTTTACAGTGTGACCAATGCAGGATTCTAGGTATGGCCTTACTAAGGCTTTATAGAGTGGTATTAGTGCCTCACTTGTAGGAGCCAAGTTTACAACGAAGGGACGGATACAGGAAGTTTAAGCAGAGAATTCCTCCAGGCTGGCAGGGAAGCAGGAGACAAGTCTTAAAGTTGCCAGGTTTGGAGATCCTTGGCTGCTACTACTAAGGATTAAATGTGCTACCCATGAGACTAACTACAAACTAACTTCAACTAGAACTGCAAGGAATGACTTTAATGTTGTTGCCGTTTCCACTTTAAATCATCTTTTAGGTATCTTTGCTTACCTGAATTACCATGTTCCCCGGACCAGACGGGAGATCTTGGAGACCTTAATCAAGGGGCTTCAGAGACTGGAGTATCGAGGGTATGACTCCGCAGGTAAGTTCTCCGAGTGATAGATGGATGACTTTCATCCTTAACTTCTTCGTGTGGACATGCTCCGAAACACCATCCGCATCCGAACCTGTGTGTCCGGGTTCCAAATAGCATCCAAAAGTAAATCAGAGTACGAGGCAAAGGATTGCTCAAAGTTCCAATTTATTAAGAGAGCCACGTTGGCACATCTGGGAAAACCCTAATTTGAAAGGTTCCTGATTTCCCCCACCCACCCGAGTTCAAGATCTCGCCGCACATCCACAAACCCATCCCATGATCCAATCTCCCACTGCTATGCTGGCAGGTCCGGTCAGGTTCAGAGACAAAGGATGACCTTGGGTTTCTAGAAAGAATTTTGTTATGGCTACGTATCATCTAACTCCATACAATACATACAGTATGTGTGTGAGAGAGAGGGAGGGAAAGAGAGAGTTAGAAAGAGAAAGTGTGTGTGTGTGTGTGTGAGAGAGAGAGAGGGAGAGATGAGAGAGGGAGGGAAAGAGAGAAAGTTTGTGTGTGTGAGAAGCAGAGGGGGAGAGCTCCCTTCCTTAGCCTTCTATGTGCCTGGGAACCACTAATCCTGCCAGGGAAGCTGTGGAGCTGCCCGCCCTTCTTCCTCGCCTTCCTTCCTGTGTCGTAGGGGTGGGAATCGATGGCGGGAATGACAAAGACTGGGAGGCCAACGCCGGCAAGATCACGCTCATTAAGAAGAAAGGAAAAGTGAAGGCTTTGGATGAAGAAGTCAACAGTAAGTCTCGTTTTCCTCCTTTTCCTTTGGGTGGCTGCATTAAAAAAAGCCCTTGGCGTAGCAGGTGGGCGAAAGGAGCGGACTCTGCATTTAATTCGGGTTTTTCAATTTGATTTGATTCTGCAGCCGCTCATCCCAACAGGCGAGTCCTGGTGGAGTCTATCCTAATACACAAAAGACCAAATGAAAAGCAGTTAAAACCATACTGACTGCAAGTAATAATTAACTTTGATCATCCTGAATCAGAGTTTGTTTCCCTTCTGGAGAGCCAAGATCGAGGCCCCTAGTGAGAAGCGGGAGAGCCAAGATCTGAGGTTGTGGGCTGATACCATTCCAGACCAATGGATGGACCTTAAGAATGGAATTGTGCTGCTTTCAAAATTTGCCTTTTAGAGTTCTTACTCGAAGTTGTATAAATCGTAACATTGATGGAATGCATTGTTTATTTCTTATTTTTTGATAATGTGAACCTTGCTAATTTAAGTATTTTCAGCCCAAATTTCACCAGAGATAAGTAGATTTTGACTAGAAAATCGGCCTGTATCATTTTATAATATTAGGTATTATATATGAAGTATGTTGTACAGCTAGTCCTTGACAAACCCCCCCACCCGTCCCCCCAAAAATTATATTCCTGCTTTGTGGCTGCACTGACGGCTACAATTCTGAGATCAGTGGTTTGAAGCATAACCAGACAAGAGAATATAACTGCTGCATCTTCCTTTTTCCATGATTAGTATCCAAAAGGCTTTAAAAGTCAATATACAGTACACACACGCACACGCTCACCAGGTGCTTTGACAGAAGAAAAAAAGACTTAATCATTCCCCTGGCTCAGCTGATAAGGGAGGAGAGTTTGTGGCTTAGAGATTAATACAACTGCCTAATATGTAAAAACAGCCCAAGTTCGAATCTGTCTGTCTGTCCCACCCACCCATCCATCCATCCATCCATCCATCCATCCATCCCCCCCCCCCCCCCCCCCCCCCCCCCCCCCCCCCCCC